GTTCTAAGTTGCTTCTCTCCTTGATTAGTTTCCATCTATTGCTTCTTGTCCTGCCTTCGGGTGCTTAGTAGCCTAGCACTGTGTTGGCTTTTTTGGCAGCTGCAGCACTCTCCTGGCTCCTATTTAAGTGATTGTGCACTAGAACTCCAAGATCCCTCTCACAGTTAACTACTATTGAGCCAGGTACCACCTATATTATACCTGTGCATTTGTTTTTTCTTGCCTAGATATAGAACCATACTACATACGCATCTAGCCAACCTTAGTTGATTGAGAAAAGCTAAGCAAGGTCAGATCTGCTCAGTATTTGGATTGGAGAAGACCAGGAAGTCCCAGGGCAAGGAGAGTAGAGTGAAATGTTGAAAAACATCTCCGATCAAAACAAGGTCAAATTCCTTCCATATGTTGCTATACAAACTTTGTGGATGTGTCTCTGACGTCGGTCGGCAGCCGTTTTACTGCAGGGCGTTTTAGTCTCTGTTAGGTTTAGATATAGAAGCCACATGGAGAGATCCATCTTGAATAAACATTCCTTTTTAAGGTGATGTCTATTGCCACGTTCATCCATCCTTTCCAAGTCCAATTGTGTCCTGAAAAAAGCTGCTGGTTTACACCACATCGGTTTGTAAGGGGACATCGTATCTTTAAAGGTGCTCAGCTCCTTTCTCATCAATAACTGCTTTATGAGAATTGACCCTGTCTTTGTCTTGATACAATAATTCTAAGTGTTTTATTTTTATGTCTCTTTCTTTATTGGGAATATTACTTTTGGTTTTCCCAGATGTTCATAGGATTATACCTGCCTGCCCAGAATCCTGCAATGGACTTCCAGGACCCTCTCTACTGTGCTTTTATTAACACATTATCAATGGTTTATGTGTAATAATGAACATGTTAAATTTATAGATGTGTAAAAGTTCCTCTAGATTTATCGAATGAAGTTACACTTCATCTTATCTGAAAGGACGGGGTGGGTCTCCTTTGGGGTCCAGATTCTCCTCACCTACAAGCAGTTCTCGACTTATGAGCACAATTGAAAGTCAAAATTCTGTTGCTAAGCAACCCGGTTGTTAAATGAGTTGTGGCTGATTTTACAGCTTTTTACCACTGTTGTCAAATGAATCAGGCAGTAATAGAGTGGATCTGCTTATCGGAAGCCCCTGGGAAGGTCACAGATGGTGATCATGTGACCCCATGATGCTGCTACCATCATGAATACGTGGCAATTTTCCAAGTGCCCAAATTCTCTTCAGGGATGCTGCAACTGTTGTACGTGTGAGGGCTGGTCATACACCACTTTTTCTCAGTGCCAGTCATTAAACAAATGGTCATAAATTGAGGACTCCCTGAATTTTTCAAAAAGGGAGATCCAGAAATGACACTGTGCAACCTTTAAGGTTCTCTTGATTTTCAAGATCACTTCAGGATAACTTAGTGAGGCATTTTCAAGTACGTGACTCTCCACACAAACAGAAAAAGCAGCTTGCATAGCATAAGTAATAGCTGGAGAGAACAGCAGGGAACAACCATACAATAGACCATGATTTATAGTCTGCAGTGTCCTAATTCACAAACACACACTAAGCAAGAATTAAACAAATTACATCATCGCTTAGTTAATTGTGATCCCAGTCTTTGTGACTGATGTTTCTCTTTAATGTGCTTGGATTAGCTTTTGCGTTTTGTCACTTCTGCTCAGTGTTCAAACCCTAGGATTCTTTGCAATTTGGGGGACAGCTAGCCTCTTTTCATTACATTTCAGCATGGGATCTGTGGCTTTTTGCCTCACAATGTTCAAGGAGACAGTGGTTTTCCTTCTTCTGTTCCAAAACTTGCAGTTTAATTTGGCTGCAGAGTGCATGTTTTCCTTCTGACGCCACTTCCATGCTCCTGGGCCTTTTTTCCACGCCTGAAGGACAGCACATCATCTCATGTGACTCAACCTTACGAATCATGCTGGAAGCATGAAGCTGTCGCTTGATGAAACTAGGGTGGACTTCCCCCACAACTTTTTGGGAGCCAACTTTGAGATGTTTCAGGGAAGAAAAATCCAGGGGCTACAGCCAGTTTTAAATCATGACACTTCTCTCCTTCTCTCCTTCGACTTCCTCAATCACTTGAATTAGCACTGGTGAGATCACACTTGAAATACAACATCTAATTCTGGCCACCAAAATATAAAAAGGAGCTGAGAGCCTAGAAAGAGTGCAGAGGAGATCAACAAAGATGTTAAGGGGGGATGTCTGAAGGCTAAACCACATGATGAATGATTGTGGGAACTAGTTCTGTGTAGTCTAATGAAGAGAAGGACTAGGGGGTGACATGATAGTTGTCTCCCAATACTTGAGGAGCTGTCACACCGAAGAAGTCAACTTGTTCTTCAAAGCACCTAAGGGCAGGACAAGAAGTAATGGCTGGAAACTTACCAAAGAAAGATCCAACCTAGAACTAAGGAGAAATTTCCTCGTGGTGAGAACAATTAATTACTTCACGTGATTGAGAAAGTCGGAGGAGAGAAGGAAACCTGTCATGATTTAAAACTGGCTGTAGCCCTTGAATTTTTCTTCCCTGAAACACCTCAAAGTTGGCTCTGAAAAAGTCATGGGGAAGCCCATCCTAGTTTCATAGAATGCCAGTTTCAGGGTTCCAGCATGATTGTGGGTACTTCATCACTGGAGGTCTTCAAGAAGAAACTAGACCAGAGGTAGGCAACCTTGGCTCTTTTATGACTTGTGGACTTCAACTCCCAGAATTCCTGAACCGGCCATGTTGAGGAGAAAGGGAGAGGTTTCCAAGCTGAGCCATGCTTACTCAGGAATTCTGGGAGTTGAAGTCCCCGAGTCATGAAGGGGCAAAAGTTTCCCTCATGCTGGCTCAGGAATTCTGAGAGTTGAAGTCCATGAGTCATAAAAGAGCCAAGGTTGCCTACCCCTGAGCTAGACAGCCATTTGTCTGGAATGGTATAGGGTTTCCTACCATGGGCAGAGGATTGGACTAGAAGACCTCCAAAGTCCCTTCCAATCCTATTATTCTACGTTCTCCATTTTCTCTTCTTTCCTTCTGTACTACTCACCAGCTTTCTTTAAGAGAAGGGTCATGGGAGCAAAACAATCCCTTTCTCCTAATTTGGCTCCTCTTTGGAACCATTTGGAACCGGAGTAATCACTTTTGAAAAGACTGACAGCTTTTCCATCATTCTTGGCTCACTGGACCAAATTCCACTTGCTTATCAAAAGCCCTGGTGCCAAGGAACAAAGCCGGGCACTTAAACAAAACTGGCACCAGACATGAAGGCCAGAAAACAACAGCAAGAGCCTGAAAAACACATTTTTGGAATAGTTGACCCAGCTTTGAGGGCTAGGCTTTAAATGTGTTGCTCAGGGGCTCACTGTTGCTTTTCAGTTTCTGTAGAACATAGAATAATAGGGCTGGAAGGAACCTTGGAGGTCTTCTAGTCCAACCCCCTCTGGTGCCAGGTTTGTTTAAGTATCTGCTTCAGCATATGAGTGCTCAACACTAGGGCTTTTGATAACCTGTGGGATTTGATCCAATGAACCAAGAATGGCTGACCCTGGAGATTTTTCTGCCTTCCTTGGGCTGGTAGAACTGGCGTTAGGGATCTTTCTTCCTAAAAAATAATCATCATATTAATACATTTCTTTTCCTTCCATTTATTTGGACTGCCTTATCATCAATCCTGTTACAGCCCTTATTTTAGTTTATTTCCCCCACCAAATTCTAAATATTTTTACTAGTAAAGGTTTTCTCAGCGATTAGTTACATTTACATTGACAGACTTGATTCTATTTTTTCCGTATAAGCCTTCTCACATTTTTACGTTTCTTAAGTATTAAATATAAGAGTAAAAAGAAAGGGGGAAAGGAAAAAAGAATGAAAAAGAAGTAAAAAATAAAAAAGAATAGAAGAAAGCAGTAATAACGGAACATAGGCAATAACATAATACTTAAAATATATATCCCTCCTAGATTAATAGTATTTATTGTCTCAAATTTCTTATTCTTTTTAATCATAGTTAAGAATATATTTAATCTTTAAACATTCTCAAGTTTTACTCAATTTTTGCAATTTCTGCTTGGTGTAATACTTTGCCCATCAGATGACTTCCGTACTTGGAAGAATGATTAAACCAAGCGGTGGTTGAACATTCCATGTGCAGGCAATAACCCTGCCAGTGGAATGGAAATAGAGGTGATTAAAAATGCTCCTATTTTAAATTAATTGGCCCATTTCACTATATGCAAACCAGATGCAAAGACATTGGTTTAAGCTGTGGTCTGTTCAAACAGATTTAAGAGTGTTTTGCCATGATAAACTATCTTATGACATTTAGTTGTGGTGTATGCATTTCTTTGGTATGTTTTTGGGTGTTAAAAATATTGATTAGCTTGGATTGAGAATGCTGCTTAGATGCTCAGCCTTTAAACCATTTTTAAGTCTGCCATATGAATATATAGGTAGTCCTCAACTTATAACCACTATTGGGACCAGAATTTTCTTTGCTAGGCAAGGCGGTTGTTAAGGGAATCATGCCTGCTTTTACAACCTTTTTTTACCATAGTTGTTAAGTGAATCATACAGTTATTAAGGAAATCTGGCGTTCCTCACTGACTTTGCTGATCAGAAGCTGGCTAAGGTCAAAAATGCGATCACACAGCCTTAGGAAGTTACAGCTGTCGTAAATACCTTCCAAATTCAGGCCAAGTCCCTGAATTTGATCATGCGATTGCAGAGATGCTGCGGCGGTCATAAGTCAAAAATGTTTGGTGCCATTGTAACTTGGAACGGTCGTTAAACGAATGATTGTAAGTCAAGGACTACCTGAATAGTGTTGGGTCCACAAAACTTCTGTTAATCCATAAAGAACACACAGGACCTTAAATTTAGGGCCCGAATTGAAATATTAGAAGTATTTACATTTTGATTTTTTAAAAGTTTCTGGTGTGTTAACTTATTTTTCTCTCTCCATCCCCCCTTTACAGTAGTTGAAGACCTGCACTTCATGGAAGAAGGAGACATCTCTGTGTTGACCAGCAAACATCCAAGCCCTCATGGATTCTGAGCACTCTGTTGCTGCCCAGTAGCTGGAGAAGTGGGATGTTTACGTGGAAGTGTCTTATTTTGGGGGCTGTGCTGGTCATAGCCACACTATCCACTGCAAGACCAGCGCAAACCTTGCCAGAACAAGGTAGGCACATCACCTGCTTTATTCGTGTCCATTGGTTTGTTTCCATTCTTACGTGTTCTACGACCGTGTTGTTGGTTAATGGGAATTCTCTGTCAAACATAGACCCAGAAGAACCGAATGTAACGCTCATAATTTCTCACCAGGCACAATATTTTATTGGGTGTGTATTACAGTATATCAGTCCAAGATATTTTCTTCACCAGAGGGGAGGGGGGAAAAAAGGTCTCTCTTCCTCCGTTCTCATTCATAAAACCTGGCAGGTTGTACGTTTTCTACTGGCTGTGTGACCTGTGCAGGATTGACCATGTGAGATAATTCAAGGAAATCCGGTTCTCCAGTATTTGCAAATCTCCAAACTGAAGCAAGAGGGTTAGGGGGAAAGTTAAAAAAAAATAAAAATAAAAATAAAGACAGCAGTTGATAGTGCAGCGGTTCTCAACGTTTGTGTGACGGCGACCCCTGTCACACAAACGTTCTGCGCATGCGCGGCGCGCATGGGGGCAGTGCCCTTATGCGCAGCACGCATACACGGCGCCACCCCCTGAGGGGAGAAAATGGTGGATCGCCTTCTTTGGCGACCCCCGAAAAATGGTTGATCGACCCCAAATGGGGTCGCGACCCATAGGTTGAGAACTGCTGTGATAGTGTGTAATCAAAGATATTATCTTGACTCTTTTGTCACTCCTCACTAAATCAAACCTAACATTTTACGAGTGATTGCAGACTTCGTTTTATATTCTGCGACTCATAATAGGTTGTCTGTCTGCACAGTCAAATGCCTTTCCCAAGTGACACTATTGATCTGCATTCACGTAACATTGTAAACACACACTCTAGTTCACCAAATATAAAGATTTGGTTTCCAAAACATACGGTGCCATAAAAATGATCTTAAGGTTTAAGATGAACTGATCCTCACTATAGGCCATATTATAGTTTGTGAGGGCAGAGCCTGGGGGCAGAGTGAAAAAGGGGATCAGCCTAGCATTCTGATATAGTCACAAGCAAATTAAGTCCAATCCCCCTTGAATCCTATTGGCCCTTATCTAACTCTAACCAGATGTTGTCTGTTGGTTGAAAAGATTCCTTTGTATGGGCTTTAGCAATAAATCAGTTTAATTGAACCTTCTTGTGTGGACTTGATCTTTCACACCTGAGAGTTTGTTTAATCTTGTCTTATTCAATAGACCACAACTGTTGGAATACAGACAATGTACTAAGTTGCTATGGCTTACAAACCGTGTTAGTTGAGTCTGTACAGCATGTCAATCCAACATCAAAAAACCCAGTTTACAGTATATGAATCACCAAACAATCTATCCCAATGCACTGGCACATTTAATAAAGACATTGTCATACAATGCCATGTCCAAACAAATAATCCAGGCTTTTGATGATGGCCTGATTCATGTAACATGCTAAGACAATGGCTACATTCTCACAACCTACTCATCAACAAAATACTCAATTCCATTTTTACTTGTGGCCTTCTCCCTGTATGTCCCATTTATGGTTTGGAATGATTGTTTTTCTTCTCAGGCAAGAATTCTGTAAGATTTTGTGTCCAAAGCTGGCAACAGATGGATGATGTTACTGCACAAGAGAATTATCCCAAGGTGCTAGAAGAAGGTTAAAGCTGCAAATTATGAGCTAGAATAAATATTCTTTCATGTTGAAGCCGGTGGTTAGATCAGAAGCCAGCCAAAGTTACTGTGCTTTTGATCAGACAAGGACAGGGAACCAGTTTGGTTTATTTGGACTTCAAAGCTATCACCCTGATGTGAAGCCATCTTGCACATCTGTATTCATTTCTATTATTTGAAGCCTATGAAGGTCTGTCACGATATTTATCCGCTGTCCTTTTTGGCTGCAGCATTCTTCCACCCACCTGCAAAAGGACATTTTCTCATGGCAGTTGCAAAAATTAAAAACAAACCTCGTGATCTGGAAACATGTTTGGGTCTCAGGCAGCATTCCACATTAGCTTATCAAAACAAAAAGGCAGACTTTGAATGATTAATTGCCGAGCTCCTTATCATCCAAAACAATCTGTTAATCCCTTCTAAAGAGTAATCTGCACTAGATTCACAAGCAGCCTGGGTAAATGTTCAGAAAACTGGAAAAGAAATAGGAAAGTTAACAGCACACTAACAGTTACTGAAAGATAACTAGGAGAATGAAGTCTAGCATGAAAGCGTGTCCCATTTCTTTTATCAACCTCTCCCAGATGAAAAGTGTCATTTTGCTAAATGTGCAGCAGTTAGTTTCCAGGGTCATAATACAATTTGTGGGCTAATATTTTACAGGAATGAAGGTAGATATAAGTGTCCCAAGATAATGTTGCAGGATCCGGCCATCAACACTTTAATCAACACCTAAAAGCTATACACAGTCAGAAACCCATATAAATAAAATGCGTAGGGCACATATTCTAGAGAGAGAGAGAAATTCCCTAATGATGGGCTCTAGCACAAGCTCCAAAGCTTGGAAGAATAAACCCTTGGTCCTGGTGACAGACTCAGACTGGATCCTACTAATATTTTAATTAGGAGGCAACAAAAATGTTTTTTTGCATTTTGCTGGATCAAATTGCACAATCCCAGAGGGGCAGTGAACCATCTGAATGGTGCCTTTCTTTATTTCAGTTAGAGAAACATCGCTATTCCACAAAAACTAATCTTAATTGGATCACAGTTACAAAAGTTCTCTACCTTTAGATTCTGGGATGGACGTATTTAGGTAGGTTTCAGGATACGAACACCAACAATACGACAGGCAGGGGGAAGGCTGCATCTTTCATCCCTAAAGGCTGAGCCTCTGTGCCTCCTGTGGTTAACCTTCAACTTTATGGAAATGGCAAATTAGCTGCTTTGCAATTTTGCCTCCAGCAGAGCTAACAGCATGTGGCTGGCGCTTTATTCATTAGACACTGACTCAGCTTGATATAAATGCCCAACCACGATTTATTATGGCCTGTGATAGTCTTTGGTGATCACAGATTTAAGCATCTCTGTATTCAAACCCACCTGAGGTCCATGTGATGCCTTTGAATGTTGACTCAAGGGGATAGGATTTGCAGACCGAGACATGCACATCTGGAAGGTGCTTGATTGTAGAAGACTGTTATAGCTTTTGCACTCTATGGAATCCATTCTCCGTCTTGGTAATTCCTTCCTAAAATTTGACGATTTCTTCCTAAAATAAAGAAAAAAGTATTCACATGCAATGGTATTTGGGCTGCTCAAATTCCCAAAGCCTTCAAACAGAATTAAAACAAAATGGAAGCAGTGTGTGGACTTGCCAACCATACAGAGATATTCTCGCCAGTTGTATCCTGTCACTGAGATACCAATTGATCCACCTATTCCTTGATTGACAGTGTAGGTATTTAGAATTGAAGCTCAAGATTCTAGATAAGGAAAGTATATGAACATCTCCTTATGCTCTCAGATATATCATAACCTTGACTAACGTGGATTTTTTTTTTACATGTATGGATTATTTGGATTTTAACTGAAAGAAAATTGAATCTTCAAATCAGACCCTTTTAAAGGAAATTAGAGCTAATAGAACAGCACTTCAAAAAAAAAAACAGGAATTCAAATAGGTATAGAAGCAGCAGAATACCCTCATATTCTTTTGATGGCTATAAAGTTGATGAGTAAAGCAACCTGAGAGAAATGTGGTAGTTTTCATTGACAGCTTGTTTTTCAGAAATGAGTCAGTGTGAAGTTTACAGATGGGCTCGTTGAATCTGGAGCTGAATGAAACCTTGATAAGAGACCCTCCCTAACTTTAGATGTAAACTACTATTCGTGGGTAAACTGAAGTTTATGCTTTTCAGAGTATAGTTAATAGCTCAGAGTGCACAAGTTTGGGGTTTGTTTTGTTTGGCTTATTGGTCTCTTTGAATCAGGGCTGACACCTGGTGACTGCTTGGACAAGATTTCTCGACAAGGTTTCAGAAGTGGTTTTACCATTGCTCACTTCTTAGAGCGGAGTGATAGTAACGGGCCGAAAATTACCCAACTGGTTTTGTGCCTAGCTAGAACTCTCAGTTTCTATCCCAGCCCCTTAATCATTGTATCAAGCTGGCTCTCTTAAGTGCCTACAAAGGTGTGTGAAAATTTTCCATGCTGCTCCTCCGAGGAAGCATAACATAGAACATAGAATTATTGGGCTAGGAGGGACCTCGAAGGTCTTCTAGTCAACCTTCCTACTCAAGGCAGGAGTCTTTACACCACCCCACTCAAATGGTTGTCCAATCTATTTTTGAAAACCTCCAGGGATGAAGCACCCACGACTGTGGGAGGCTACCTGTTCCATTGATTAATTGTCAGAAAATTGTGATCTCTTTATTCCACCCATTAACATAACTCGATAAGGAAATTAGCCCAAAGGTTAGATACTGAACAGAATTGCAGTTATTATTTTTCCCATACCTCAATCACAGATAAGATTGAAGGATAGGCGCAGCTCTTTCTGCATTGTGCCAATATTAGCTGAATTCCTGAATCTGGGTATATTCTCCTTTAATAGGCTTATTTTTCTAACTGCATTGATTTATGAAGTTGTATTTTTAGCATCCCATAAGTGAGTTTGCTTTTACAGATCACTTGAGTATGCCTCAGATAGTGCTTAGTTTTTCGGAGATAGGTTAGGAAAAATGTTTTTAAAGTGTTTACACATCTGGCTATTTTTTTTTCCATACCAGGACAAAGTATATATAGCTCAGAGTTGGTTTTTGTTGGTTCTTGGCATTCACAAAGCTCTGAACTCAGTCCAACCAAGCTCAGAAACACCAAGAACCTAATGGACCATTGTTTCTGAACTTTGGAAGCTTTCAGAAATGTGGACTTCAACTCCCAGAATTTTCTTCATGGCTGGATGGAGAATTCTGGGTGTTGAAGTCCACATATCATAAAGTTTTCAAGGCTGAGAAACACTGACACAGACTGATCTCTGTATCTCCCAAAAATCAGTTTCTGGGGCCTAAACAC